AAGAGCAGTGAATATTACCCATCTCTATTTGCCCTTGAACTGAATGATTTGGTGGGCATTTCAAGGGTAGTTAGAAGTCAGCCACAATGCTGTGGATCTGGAATCATATTTGGTGAGATAAGGATGGTGGATTTCCTTCCCTAAAGGGCACTAGTGAACTACCTCGTTATTTGCAACAATGGTTGCTATTTGATCGGCTTTTAAGTCCTAAGTTTTAATCAAATTTAAGTTTCAGCATCTGCTATAGTTGGATTTGTTTTGAAACTACATTTTTTTGGGATGTGGGCATCGCAGGCTGGCCAGCATTTATTGCCTGTCCCTAGTTGCCCTTGAGAGCTGCCTTTTTGAATTGCTGCAGTCCATGTGCTGTGGGTTGACCCACATGCCATTAGGGAGGGAACTCCAGGATTTTGATGCAGCGACAGTGAAGGAACAGTGATATATTTCCAAGTCAGGATGGTGAGTGGCTTGGAGGGGATCTTGAAGGTTGTGGCATTCCCATGTATCTGCTATCCTTGTCCTTCTAGATAGAAGTGTTTGTGGGTTTGGAAAGTGCTGTCTGAGGATCTTTGGTGATTTCTGCAGTGCATTTTGTAGAAAGATGTACTACTCTTACTGAGCGTTGGTGGTGGAGGGAGTGAATGCTTGTAGATGTCATGCCGATCGAGCGGGATGGTGTCAAGCTTCTTAAGTGTTGCACTCATCAGGCAAGTGGAGAGTATTCCATCACACTCCTGACTTGTGCCTTGTAGATGGTAGTCAGCTTTGGGGGCTCAGGACGTGAGTTATTTGCCGCAGTATTCCTAGCCCCTGACCTGCTCTTGTAACCACTGTGTTTATCTGGTGAGTCCAGTTGAGGCTGTGGTCAGTGGTAACTCCAAGGATGTTGATCGTGGGAGATTCAATGACAATAATATATCGGGTCCAGTTCTGAGGAAGGGTCACTGGACCTGAAACGTTAGATCGGATTTCTGTTCTCAGATGCTGCCAGACCTGCTGAGCTTTTCCAGCAAATTCTGTTTTTGTTTTCGATCCCCTGGCTTGATGTAAAGCTTGAGTCTGTTAGGGCTGGACCAGTTCAATTACAGTACTGTTGCTGAGCCTATCTTGGTGGTAGATATTGAAATCCTCTCACCTCGAGTATATTTTGCGCCCTTTCCATTCTCAGTGCTTCCTCCAAGTATTGTTCAGCCTGCAGGAGTATTGATTCATTAGCCAATGAAGGAAAGTATGTGGTAATCGGCAGGAGGTTTCCTTGTTCATGTTTAATCTGAACCCATTAGACTCCATGGGGTCTTGAGTCAATGTTGAGGACTCCCAAGGCAACTCCCTCCCACTGTATACCACAGTGCAACTACCTCTGCTGGGCCTGTCCTGCCAGTGAGACAGGACATATCCACAGATGGTAATAGGGGTATCTAGGACAATGTCTGGAACGTATGATTCAGAGAGTATGACTGTACAAGGCTGTTGCTTGACTAGCCTGTGAGACAGCTCTCCCAATTTTGGCACTAGCCCCCAGATATTAATAAGGAGGACTTTGTAGGTTCAACAGGGCTGTTTCTGCTTTTGCCTTTTCTGGTCCTGAGATCATTGACAGGTGATCCATCCAGTTTTGTTTCTTTGAGACTTTGTAGTGATTGATACAACTGAGTGGATTGCTAGACCATTTCAGTGCTCAATTGAGAGCCAACCACATTTCTGTAGGCCTGGTCAGACCAGGTGAGGATGGCAGATTAACATCTCTGAAGGACATTTGTGAGCCAGATTGTTTGTTGTTTTTTCCAACAACTAACAATGGTTTCATGGAGATTCTTAATTCCAGATTTTATTTTATTACATTAAAATTCCATCATCTGCCATTTTGGGATTCGAACCCAGGTCCCCAGAACATTAGCTGAGTTCCTGCCTTAATAGACTGGCAATAATACCACCAGGCCATCCCCTTCCCCTTTGAACCCATATCTCCAGAGCATTAGTGTGGTTCTCTATGTTTCCACCTTGACATTACCACTACACCACTGCCTGCTATAAAAGGTAGAGTATTTTGTCACACTCCTAGTTTGTGCCTTGTAGATGACAGACAGGATTTAGGAGTCAGGAGATGAGCTACTCATTTCCAAATATCCAGCATAGGACCTCCTCCAGCTTGCTGTGCAAAGTGACACAACAGCACAAAACTGTGTCTAATTCAGTGCTTTCTGTGAAATAAACTTTACTAATAGTCTTACCAAGTCCATACTCCCAGAAACATCAAGGACTAAGCAGAGCACACGGTCTTTAGCCTGTAGCAGTGTGAAGGTTGGTGTCACTGACCCACTGTAAGATGAGCGATTGTTTCTGAAATCCTGCGACTTGCTGATTACATCCCAAGTGCTCCTAGAGTTGCACATTTTGTTTTGCATGTTCGGTGCTTCAGAATTGTGAGTCCTGTCGTCACAGAATTTAGTCACCTGGACGTTTTTAAAAAGAAAATAAAATGATGCAACAGGTTATCAGGCTGTAGATAGATTGGGATGGCGATGGGTTATTTTTACCTTTCATAGCCAGGAAGGATACTGTCAGAGCTGTCACCCGCCCATTGTGAAGCTCAGCGGATCGATATTGCATTGATTCTCGAGGATACATCACAGATCCAGAGAAAGAAGGAATCCACAATGTAAGTTTACAACTGCTCTCGCTGATTAAAACTTATCCCGAATTTGTTGATAACATTTTGATATGCATTTTAACCAAGAAAAGGACAAAATTGTCAAATGCTTCAATATTGTATGTTGCGTACTGCCTTTCCCCAGACAATGGCATCTGATAAGCGACAGACACCAAACTGTACATTATCATCAATCTCAAGGGGCCGGCTCTGTGTCGCCTGCAGGAGGAAGCTGGAGATGTGGAAAATGCAGGTGACAGCTGTCACTCCATTGAAGAGGAAACACTTCCAATCTGCAGCTAAGAAGGGGAAAGTGATGCTCAGGAATTGAGGGAGATGGCAAGGTGGCTCAGTGGTTAGCACTGCTGCCTCATTCACCAGGGACCCCAGGTTCTATTTCAGCCACAGGTGACATGTTCTCCCCGTGTCTATGTGTGTTTCTCCTGGGTGCTCCGGTTTCCTCCCACAGTCCAAAGATGTACAGGCTGGATGGATTGGTCATGGCAAATGGGGTTCCAGTGATCGGGTGGAATGCTGTGCAGGGTTGGTGCAAACTTGATGGGCTGCATGGTGTCTTTTCACACTGAAGGGATTCTATGAAATTGCATGTCTCCATCAAAGTGCTGCCCATACAAAGATTTCAGCTGGCTGGACTGCAGGTTTATAATGCAGAGTGACACCAATAACATAGGTTCGATTCCTTCACTAGCTGAGGTTTCCATGAAGGACTGTCCTTGACAACCTTGTTCCCTCAACTGAGCTGTGGATACTCTCTCGTTAAACCATCACACTTTGCCTCAGTCTAATGGGAGAGCAGTCGTTAGGCCTGGTGGGACTATTTATTTTTATCCACATATGAGGGTATAGGTACCTCTGGCAGCATTTCAGTGCCCATGAGAAGGTGATGGTAATTCACCTTCTTAAACTGCAGCAGTGCATGTGTTGTGTACCCTTTGTAACATGTGGCAATTTCAGCTTTAATGAAAACTTAATGATAATTTTGAAAATTGAGATTAGTGTTGGACTTTGAGGAGAACGTGGAGGTGGATGTGCTCCCATTGTTCTGAAGATGCCTCATTATTAATAGTTTCTTTGAGGATTTGAATTTAAACAATTGCAGACAGTCATTTGTTTTACAAGATACCTGGACCTTTTTCTTAAAAGGTCACTAAATGACACATTGGAACTTCTTTTGAAGACACTTGGCTTAATTTACTGGACATCACATGCCTTGATTTATGGCTGTTGATTTTTTTTTATTCCTTGATTTATGAGATGAAGGTATCGCTGGCTAGGCAGCATTTTATTACGTACAGTTCAGAGTCAACCACATTGCTGTGGGGCACATGTAGGCCAGACCAGGTAAGAATGGCAATTTTCTTCCCTAAAGGACATTAGTGAACCAGATGGGTTTTTACCCCTGACAATCGGCGGATTCATGGTCATCATTAGAGGCTTAATTCCAGATTTTTTTAAAAATTGAACTCAAACTCCACCAGCTGCCATGGTGGGATTCAAACCCAGGTCCCCAGAATGGTATCAGGGTCTCTGGGTTAACAGTCTAGTGATAGTACCACTAGGCTATCACCTCTCATGATATTGTCTGGACTTCAGTTGCTGAGATTGTTAGACACTCACTTCATCCTCTGCCTTTCAAAGAAAGCTCTCTTGAAGGACCAGAGTAGTAACCAAACACTGTTTCAGCTGTTTTCCTGGAATGCCTTTCGAACAATACTTCTTGGTGATTACAGAATAAACTACATCTGCAAGGACCCCAGTGACGAGTGGCTGTCTTTGATGTACATATGCCAGGATACAGTTTGAAAGCCTTATCCTTATTCTTTTTATCCTCATTCTTTATCTCTGCAGAGAATTTTATTTATTTTTTATTTGACGTATGTATGGTTGTTTAGAAGATTTATAATTGAAAATTTCCAGTTGCGTGTTTGCATCTTGCTTGAATAAGTTTCTTGTTTTATAATAAATCAATTATTTTGTTCTTTATTACAGACTAAAGATTCATTTGATAGATCTTTTGTATTCTGAATTTAAGATTGATAAAGTATCATTGCCTATATTGGTAACTGGTAAAGTATATATATTTATATTGTGAACAGTGGAGTGATGGCACTAGGCAGAGGCAGTGCACTCCCTAATCTTAGTCACAATATCATTCATCTGCTTTTTCCTTTGTTTATGTGTAAGGTCCTGTTGAACAAGTCTTAGTGACAGATGCAATGCATCCTGTGACTGGTATGCAATCAAACCGCTGTGTGTCAATAGTGGGGCAAGTGAATGTTTAAAGGTGGCCAATGGAACTGACCAAGTGGACTTCTTTGTGCTTGATGGTGTTGAGCTACTTTGTTGCTACAGTCACACAGGAAGCAGCCCATCATGGATTTGACATGTGCCTTGTCAGAGATAGAGAGGGTTTGGGGAGTCAAAATTTGAGACTACCCAACAAGAGCAAAATACCGCAGATGCTGGAAATCTGAAATAAAATCTGAAAATCATGGAAATCTGGAGCAAGAAATGAAGTTTGAATGAAATGAAACTTGACATACTCTTGAGAAATAAGGCAGGGCCGTTGACTGAGGTGTTAGTTGGGGAATATTTTGGGGCCATGATCACAATTCTATTAGTTTTAAAACTGTGTTGGAAAAGGATAGACTGGATCTAAAAGTTAAATCTCTAAATTGGAGAAAAGCCAATTTTGACAGTATTTGGCAAGAACTTTCAAAAGTTGATTAAGAGCGGATGTTCGTAGGTAAAGGGATGGCTGGAAAGTGGGAAGCCTTCAAAAATGAGATAATGAGAGTCCAGAGACAATATGTTCCTGTTAGTGTGAAGGGCAAGACTGGTAGGTGCAGGGAAGGCTGGATGAGAGAAATTATGGCTTTGGTCAAGAATAAGGAAGAAGCATATGTCAGGGATAGACAGCAGGGATCGAGTGAATCTCTTGAAGAGTATAAAGACAGAAGGAGTATAATTAAGAGGGAAATCAGGAGGGCAAAAAGGCGACATGACATAGCTTTTGCAAATAGGTTTAAGGAGAATCCAAAGGGATTCGACAAATATATTAAAGGACAAGAGAGTAACTAAGGAGAGAACATGGCCCTTAAAAATCAGCAAGGCCTGTTTTGTGTAGAACTACAGGAGATGGGGGAGATACTAAACAAGTACTTTGCATCAATGTTTACTGTGAAGAAGGGTATGGAAGACAGAGAATGTGGGGAAACAAACAGCAACATCTTGAAAAACATCCGTATCACAGAAAGGTGATGCTGGATGTCTTAAAATGCATAAAGGTGTATAAATCCCTGAGACCTGATCAGGTATACCCTCGAACTCTGTGGGAAGTGGGGGAAGTGATTGCTGGGTCCCTTGCTGAAATATTTGTAACAACGATAGCCACAGGTGAGGTGCTGGAAGACTGGAGGGTGGCTAATGTGGTGCCAGTATTTAAGAAAGGTGGTAAGGAAAATGCAGGGAATTATATACCGGTGAGCCTGATATCAGTGGTGGGCAAGTTTTTGGGGTGAATCCTGGGGGACAGAATTGACATGTATTTGGAAAGACAAGGACTGATCAGGGATAGTCAACATGGCTTTGTGTGTGGGAAATCGAGTCTCTTTAACTTGTTTGATTTTTTGAAGAAGTAACAAAGACCAATGATGAGGGCAGAGCAGTGGACATGATCCAAATGGACTTCAGTAAGGCGTTCGACAAGGTTTCTCATGGTAGACTGATTAACGAGGTTAGATCACATGGAATAGAGGGAGAACTCGCCATTTGATACAGAACTGGCTCAAAGGTAGAAGACAGAGGATGGTCGTGGAGGGTTGCTTTCTGACTGCAGGCCTGCGACCAGTGGTGTATCACAAGGATCAGTGTTGGGTCCCACTGCTTTTTATCACTTTTATAAATGATGATGTGAACGTAGGTGGTATGGTTAGGAAGTTTGCAGATGACACCAAAGTTGGAGGTGCAGTGGACAGTGAAGAAGGTTATCTCAGAGTATAATGGGACCTTGGTCAGATGGGCCAATGGGCCGAGGAGTGGAAGGTGGAAACAAAAACAAAGTTGTTGGAAAAGCTCAGCAGGTCTGGTAGCATCCGTGAAGAAAAAATATCAGAGTTAACGTTTCAGGTCCGGTGACCCTTCCTCAGAACGTTCAATCAGATTGAAACTTACAACATTTTCTCCACACCACAAGCACCTTTCATCCATCACTTCCTTGCTAAGAAAGAACTATTTTCCTAAGGGAAATTGATTCTTCCTTTCCACTCTTAGCCATTTATAATTATATTCACCTTGATTGAATGCCCAGACAGCTCCTTCTTTCCAAAAAAAGAACCCCATTTTCCAGTCTAGACAACATCCCAATAAATCTCCTTTGTACCCTCTTGAGTGTATACCATCCTGACTGTCATACAGTTACCAGAACTGTTTTGTTACATCTCACTGGGGTAACACACTGGAAACCAAGCCCCACTATTATTGGAGTCCTCACAAGAGTAAAAGTTTAAAAATTTTCACACACACACACACACACACACACACACACACAGTGCGACACAGAGAATTGAGAGTTACGAGTGGAGGGAAAGACGGAGAAGGTCCAGAGGGTTTGCTCAGATGAGCCTTTTGCTGATCAGAATGCTGCTTCTTTGTCTTCCTTCCCAAGGTTGTTCTGAGGAAGGGTCACCAGGCCCAAATCGTTAACTCTGTTTTTTCCTTCACAGATGCTGCCAGACCTGCTGAGCTATTCCAGCAACGTTGTTTTTGTTCCTGATTTACAGCATCCGCAGTTCTTTCGGTTTTTATTGAGTGGTAGGTGGAGTTCAATTTAGATAAATGTGGGGTGCCGCATTTTGGAAAGGCAAATCAGGGCAGCATTTATACACTTAATGAGAAGTTCCTGGGAAGTGTTGCTGAACAAAGAAACCTTGAAGTGCAGGTTCGTAGTTTGTTGAAAATGGAGTCCCAGCTAGACAGGATAGTGAAGAAAGCATTTGGTATGCTTGCCTTTATTGGACAATGCACTGAGTGTAGGAGTTGGGAGGTCATATTGCAGCTGTACAGGACATAGGTCAGGCTACTATTAGAATACTGCATGCAATTCTGGTCTCCCTCCTAAAGGAAGGATGTTGTGAAACTTGAAAGGGTTCAGAAAAGATTTACAAGGATGTTGCCAGGGTTGGAGAGTTTGAGCTAGAGGGAGAGGTTGAACTGGCTGCAGCAATTTTCCCTGGAGCTTCGGAGGCTGAGGGGTGACCTTATAGAGGTTTATAAAATCATGAGGGGCATGGATCGGGTGAATACCCAATGATTTTTCCCTGGGGTGGGGAATTCCAAAACTAGAGGGCATAGGTTTAAGGTGAGAAGGGAAAGGTTTGAAAAGGACGTAAGGGATAATTGTTTCACGCAGAGAGAGGTGCGTGTATGGAATGATCTGCCAGACAAAGTGGTGGAGGCTGGTACAATTACCACATTTAAAGGAATTGTACGCATCTGGAAGGGTTTAGAGAAATATGGGCCAAATGCTGGCAAATGGGATTAGATTAATTTAGTACATCTGGTTGGCATGGACGAGTTGGGCAGAGGGTCTGTTTCCATGCTGTCCAGCTCTATGAAATTTTAACAGAATTATTCTGAGACTACCTGGCCTCTAACCAGCTCATCCAGAATGTATGTAGCTCATTCAGTTCTATGGAAGAATCACAACAAAAACAAAGTTGCTGGAAAAGCTCAGCAGGTCTGGCAGCATCTGTGAAGGAGAAAACAGAGTTAACGTTTCGGGTCCGGTGACCCTTCCTCAGAACTGATGGTGGCTGGGAAAACGTCAGTTTATATGCAGAAAGTAGGGAGATGGGTGGGATAGGGAGTAAACGATAGGATACAGCCCAAAGAGAGAGAAAGACAGTTGGACAAAGGAGTTGCTAACGATTAGGCTGGGAGGGTGAGTAGTTGTTAATGGGGACTGTTACTGACTAACAACAGGGGGTGTGTAGTGGCAGGCTATGTGCTAACAAGGCCTCGTGTGTGGGGTGGGGGGCTGGGACATGGGAGAGTTTAGACCCTAAAATTATTGAACTCAATATTGAGTCCGGAGGGCTGTAGGGTCCCCAAGCGGAAAATGAGATGTTGTTCCTCCAGCTTGCGCTGGGCTTCACTGGAACACTGTAGCAAGCCGGAGACAGAGATGTTGGCCAGGGAGAAAGGTAGTGCATTGAAGTAGCAGGCAACAGGTAGTTCAGGGTCTTTTTTGTGAGCAGAACGTAGATGTTCTGCGAAGCGGTCGCCAAGTCTACGCTTCGTTTCCTCAATGTAGAGGAGAGCAAATTGTGAGTAGCGAATGCAGTAGACTTGATTGTGGGAAGTGCAGGTCAAGCTTTGCTTCACCTGGAAGGTTTCTTTTGGCCCTTGGATATTGGGGAGGGAGGAGATAAATGGGCAGGTGTTGCACCTTCGCCGGTTACAGGGGAAGGTACCGTAGGGCTGTGGGGAGGTGTTGGAGGTGAAGGAAGTGTGGACCAGGGTGTCCCTGAGAAAGGCGAAGAGTCATATTGGACTCAAAGCGTTGACTCTGTTTCTCTCCACGGATGCTACCAGACCACTGAGTCTCTCCAAATTGTGTTCATATTTACGTGGCTAGACAAGTTCAGTTTAGGGTCAACGGTAACCATGAGGAATTCAGCAATGGTATTGCACAGGGAGATGATTAGATTCTCTTTCGTTGGAAATGATCATTGCCAGGCATTTGAATTGCAAAAATATGATTTGGTACAATTCAGGCTAACTGTGGATGTTATCCAGGGTTAACTGTCTGCATTACTGAATGCTTAGTTAGCTGAGGAAAAATGAATGGAGTGGAACACAGTACAATCATCCTTACTTCTATCATCCTAGTTACAGGAAGGTCATTGATGGGCAGCCGAAGGTAGTTGACCCTACGATACTATTCTGAGGAGATCTTGCAGGGATGTTCTGGGAAATAAGAGTGTTAGCGATATTGGAGAGATGCACATCCCAGAGACTTTACTTACATTTGACAGTGCTTGTATGAACATTATTGGAGAGGATGCAGTCTGGCTTTTCTCTGGATAAAATGTACAATTCCCTTTCGGCAGTCCTGACTTGGGATCAGTGTCACACGGTGAACAGGAGCTGCCTGTGCAATCAGCAGTCTGTCCTGTAATCTGTTTTGAACATCTGAAAGGAAAAAAAAATCAAAGAGAATTCCTTGATTTTACGTAACATTTCTACAATGAAAAATCACTAAGGTTGAAACTTACAACATTTTCTCCACGCCAAAGCACTTTTCATCCATCATTTCCTTGCTAAGAAAGGATTATCACGAACCACTTTCCTAAGGGATTCTTTCTTTCCACTCTTCACTCTTTATAATTATATCCACCTCAACTGAATGTCCCGACAGCTTCCTCTTTCCAAAGAAAAGAACACCATTCTGCAGTCTCGACAACATCCCAATAAATTTCCTTTGTACCCTCTTGAGTATATACCATCCTAACTGTCATACAATTACCAGAACTGTTTTACATCTCACTGGGGTAACACACTGGAAACCAAGCCCCACTATTATTGGAGTCATCACAAGAGCAAAAGTTTAACAATTTTAAAGAGGAGCCAAAATTCCCAAAGTGCCTGTGTTTTAGATCCCGGTTGACAGAACGCATGGACCAGGTATTTGAACTTAACAAGAATTACTGCTTATGGCAAATAAATAGATTCTAACTACAGATGAACAATTATGATCAGTTGACACATAACTCTACTCATTAAAACTCTAACCTATGAATACGACCCTCATCACACACATACAGTGAGACACAGAGAGTAGAGAGTTACAAGTTGAGGGAAAGACTGAGAAGGTCCAGAAGGTTTGCTCAGATGATCCTTTTGCTGATCAGAATACTGCTTCTTTGTCTTCCCTACCAAGGTACTTTTACTTGTTATTAGGAGGTAGAGGGTAACTAGTTCACATTTACAAAGGTCTCTTACTTATTAATTCAAGTCATAGCTAACAGCAATTAATGAGGAGATACAAATTGGCTATCTTCAGGGTTTAAGATGCTTTTTCCTGCAGAGAAGAAATACAGCTTCAACCATCCCAAAGTGTGATTGTTTCTGACTTGAACATTCTCATTCCTAAGATCATCAAATCCTGACAGTGTGGAAACAGGCCCTTCGGCCCAAAAGTCCACACCGAACCTCAAAGCATCCCACCCAGACCCATCCCCCTGTAACCCACTTAATCTACTCATTCCTGAGCACTATGGCGGGCAACTTGGCAGCCAATCCACCTAGCCTGCACATCTTTGGACTGTGGGAGGAAACTGGAGCAAACCCACGCAGACACAGGGAGAACGTGTAAACTCCACACAGACAGTCACCTGAAGGTGGAATCGAACCTGGGTCCCTGGTGCTGTGAGGCAGCAGTGCTAACCATTGAGCCACTGTGCCGCCCTGAATGTTTGGCTAACTGAGAGCTCGCCACATCGCTGTGCACAGGCAGAAGGCCTTTGCCAGCAACAAATGGTCACTCATCCACGCAACAATTAGCTACTTGTTCCAAGCTGCAGCTCCATTGTACACAGCCCCTTGGCTCCAAATCGTCTGTAACTGGACTTTCTCCACCACTTGCGCAGATTGCTGTGTAATTATCATTATAATTAGTGCCAGGTAATTTGCTATAAGAATATACAGCAACAATAACCTTGGTTTTTAAGCCAGTCAATTTTCCATTCCTGACCACAATCAGAAATACAGAAAAATAAGAAGATATGCTCTTTACAATGTGCAGTACATGAGCTGTTCCCTAATCAGTATTTTATATGGCTCCAGCATAACCTCCCTGACTTCATACTTGATGCCTGAGTTAATAGAGGAATGTATCTGTTTATCTTACTTACCACCTTATCCAACTGTCCTTTTTTTTATCTTCAGGGAGCATGCACTCTAATGCTACTCTTTCCTCCTACACTAGTAATTTACCGTTTATTATATATTCCTTTTCCTTGTTTTCACTTTCCTCACTCCTGTAAATGCATTCCCTCTCTGTTTTCTGGATCAAACGCCATTTGACACTTTTCTACCCACCTGACTAATCCATTTATATTTCCTGCTGTTTACAGTTTGCTCATTCAACATTGAATATGGGGCCAATTTTTGATACCAAGTAGAAACATCTTAATAACCAGTACATTTAAGTCTGAATCTTTTATACATGTCATGAAAGGTAAGGGACTTAGTAAAACCCACTGACATCAGGCTTCCAGTCACAAAGATAACACAGTGTGGAGCTGGATGAACACAGCAGGCCAGGCAGCATCAGAGGAGCAGGAAAGCTGACGTTTCGGATCTGGACCCTTCTTCAGAAATGGGGGAGGGGAAAGCAGCTCTGAAATAAATGGAGAGAGGGGGAGGCGATGATAGAAGATGGATAGAGGAGAAGATAGGTGGAGAGAAGACAGACAAGTCAAGGAGGCGGGGATGAAGCCAGTACAGGTGAGTGTATGTAAGGAGTTGGGATGGGGGTTGGTCAGTGTGGAGGGAGGGGAGGGTAGGTAGGAGGAAAGACGGACAGGTTAGGGAGGCGGGGACAAGAGCGGGTGCTGGTCTTGGGATGAGGTCGGGGGTGGGGAAATTTTGAAACTTGTAAAGTCTGACCTCAACCCAAGACCAGACCCCTCCTCGTCCCCACCTCGTTGACCTATCCGTCTTTTCTGCCACCTAACCGACCCTCCCTCCTCACTGACCAACCCGCATCCCAACTCCCGACCTACACACACCTTTACTGGCTTCATCGCCGCCTCTTGACCTGTCCGTCTTCTCTCCACCTTTCTGCTCCACCATCCATTTTCTATCATCGCCTCCCCCTCTCTATTTATTTCAGAGCCCCCTTCCCCTCCCTCATTTCTGAAGAAGGGTCCAGACTCGAAACGTCAGCTTTGCTGCTCCTCTGATGCTGCCTGGCCTGCTGTGTTCATCCAGCTCTACACCTTGTTATCTCAGACTCCAGCATCAGCAGTTCCTACTATCTCCAGTCACAAAGATATGCTTGGATCATTGCTCTTCATTTTCTCCCATAGACCTAAGTTTTCATCCAACTTTTTACTTGTTCAGAGGACCCAAATAAACTTTTACTTTTCTGAAAAGTCATGTGAAATTTTGCCAAAAGCCTTGCAAAAACCCATGGAGACCACAGCGAATACATTGACCAAATAAACCCTTCATATTACGTGTTCGACAATTCAACCTAGTTAGTCAGATTCAGCCATCCCTGAACAAATCCATCCTGATGATCCTTGATTAAGTTGTGCCTTTTTAAATGATAATTTATGCTGTTTCTTGGAATCTTTTTCAATAATTTTCCCTCCAACATGTTTATTTGGATAAGCTAAGGCTGAAATTCCTTTAAACGGGATTGCTGCTCCACATATTTGTCTAAGTACCATATGTACATGTTATTAATGTCAGGTTTATAACATCATTGTTGGAGGACTGTATCTGGTTTATAAGATCATTATAGTTTAGGACTGTAGCTTTAAAGGCAAGGTAAATCAAAGAGATCATGTAACATGTACTGAAGTAATCCTGGGCGAATTATTGAGAAGAATGTCCAAGGTATTTAGTCTTGGACCAATGACTGTCACCTTGGAAACTACAATATATAGATCCTGACTCCCAAAGTAAATGTCAGGTTATAATAAAGTGTTCTGTAAATTGTACATTTACTTCTAAGGTGAAAAGTCAGTCGGGATCAAAGAAAATGAATTTTCATTTCTACGCACTTGCAAAACTAACATATTTCCTGTTGCCATGGGGGAGAAAGTATGTAAAGCTATTTAAAGATCAGGTTGCAGGCTTCCTTATGAATTCAAGAATGTCACAAATACACAAGGAAGTTGCAGTTTTGTCATATGTGGTATGCAGCTAATGGAAAGGAAGAAAGAAAGGGATAGAAACAGCCAGGCCTGCACCAGATGTGATAAAATGTTGACTCTATAATTCACTGCACAGCACATGAGTTGAAGATTATAGTCAGAATGAAGATCAAGCTTTTGAGGACTTGAAACGAGGCTGGAAGATTTACCTAACTTGGAACTGATGGAAGATGTTTACTGGGTTGCTTTCAAAATGAGAAATAGTTTTAGGATTAGAAGTTGGCTGGGAAAATAAAATTGGAAAGCCGTGCAGTAGAAATTGGGAGCAAATGTAAGCTGTTTGCAATAAGAACTGAAACTCTGTGTAGAGTAAGATGTGTGGTAACTAAAAAAGAGCCATTATTCTAGAATTCCCTGAGGAAGTAATAAGCAGGTTAGACGAAGGAGAGCCAATGAATGTTATCTCCCTGGATTTCAAGAAGACCTTTGACAAGGTGCCGCATAGGAGGCTGCTGAGTAAGATAAGGGCCCACGGTGTTAGAGGCAAGGTGCTAGCATAGATAGAAGATTGGCTGTCTGGCAGAAAGCAGAGAGTGGGGATAAAGGGGTCTTTCTCAGGATGGCAGTTGGTGACAAATGGTGTTCCACAAGGGTCATTGTTGAGACCACAACTTTTCACTTTGTACGTTAATGATCTAGATGAAGGAACTGAGGGCAGTCTGGCGAAGTTTGCAGTGATAAAAAGGTAAGTAAAGGGCCAGGTAGTATTGAGGATGTGGGGAGGCTGCAGAAGGATTTGGACAGGTTAGGAGAGTGGGCAAAGAAGTGGCAGATGGAATACAATGTGGGAAAGTGTGAGGTCATGCACTTTGGTAAGAAGAATAGAAGCATGGACTATTTTCTAAATGGGGAGAAATTTCAGAAGTCTGAAGTACAAAGAGACTTGGGAGTTCTAGTCCAGGAGTCTCTCAAGGTAAACTTGCAGGTTGAGTCAGTAGTTAGGAAGGCAAATGCAACTTTGACATTTATTTTGAGAGGACTTGAATATAAAAGCAGGGATGTACTTCTGAGGCTCTATAAGACTCTAGTCAGGCCACATTTGGAGTATTGTGTGCAGTTTTTGGCCCCATATTTCAGGAAAGATGTACTGGCCCTGGACCGGGTTCAGAGGACGTTCACGAGAAAGGAGTGGAAAGCTTAACATATGAGGAATGTTTGAGGACTCTGGGACTATACTTGATGGACTTGAGAAGGAAGAGGGGGAATCTAATTGAAATTTACAGAATACTGAATGGCCTGGACAGATTGGATGTTGGGAAAATGCTTCCATTGGTAGGAGAGTCTAGGACCCAAGGGCACAGCCTTAGAGTAAAGGGAAGACCTTTTAGAACAGAGATAAGAGTAACTTCTTGATCCAGAGAGTGGTAAATCTATGGAATTCACTGCCATAGAAGGCTGTGGAGGCCAAGTCACTGAGTTTATTTAAGACAGAAATAGATCGGTTCTTGATTGTCAAGGGGATTAAAGATTCTGGGGAGAAAGTGGGAGAATGAGGTTGAAAAACTTATTTGAAAAACATGATTGAATGGTGGAGCAGACTCGATGGGCTGAATGACCTAATTTCTGCTCCAATATCTTATGGTCTTATGGTCTTACAAATCAACTTGAAAGGAAAAAGATAATATTTAGTCATTAGTTTCTTTTTAATCATTTAATGCAATCTGAGGATTGTGAATAATAGAGTTACGAACAAGAAATTTGAAATTCTCTTTAAATGCATCGGGTCACTACAGATATTGAAATATTTTTTCACAACACCCTGACTAAAATAAAAGAAAATGGCTCCTGTCTTAGATGGTCAGTTGAGTTACCCAGAAAAAGGATCTCTGGAAAATAGCGTGAGGAACCATATATATGTATTGATAGTCCACACTGCACAATTAAAAACTGGAAAGGACTTGGTAGAAAAGATTAGTTACATCCATTGGTTGGGGATTCTAGAACTGGGGTAATAGTCTGAGCATTAGAGCCAGACCATTTAAGAAAGATGTTAAGAAACATTTCTACCTCCGTTTTTTCCTTCAGAGATGCTGCCAGACCTTCTGAGCTTTTCCAGCAACTTTGTTTTTGTTCCTGATTTACAGCATCCGCAGTTCTTCCTGTTTTTTTTTTGCAGTGGATGCTGGATCAGTTGATAATTTTACATCTGAGATTGTTAATTTTTTGTTTAGCAAAGGTATTAAGGGATAGAGGCCAAATGCAAGTATTTGGAGTTAGGCCACCGATCAGCCATGATTTCATTGAATGTTGGAACAGGCAGGAAGGACTGAATGGCCTACACCTGTTCTTATGTTTCTACGTTCCAATGCTAGGTAGTAAGGCAGAATTTCATCATCTTTGATGACAGATACACAAGTCCGATCTTCCTCATGATTTACTGCAACATTTACTGCTTGCACAATTTGCTGTATGAACTGTGTCAACACATCTGCTGGAGCAGATTGAAGAACAGATAGTTATCCTATGGGCATCGTATGTTATCCAGAAAACCCGAGAGACATTTTTCAGTCAGCAGAATAGTACAATCAGTGTTGTCTTACCCCGTTTTTTTCAATGGTTCTATTAAAAAAATAGAAGGGCACCAGTTCGTTATATTCATCAAAAACTCCCCACTGAAGATGAGCCCATTCATGAACAAATACTCTATCTGTAGAAACAGGAGCATTATTGATTGAAATAATGAAACCAATTCATACACTTTCTGCAAAAAAAAAAGAAATTGTGCTTTGAAAGTTTCAACATTGGCATTATGCACTCATGGATACAAAATACACCCCATGGCGTGAAGTTCTTTTGTGACTTCACAAGAGAAATCAGTGTTTTGCTCCCCCATGTTGGTGGCACAACATTTCTGAGTTTCGGATAGAATTGGTATCTCAGAAGGTTTAGGTGTAAAGTTGTGTTCCATTGAAATAAAGGGAGAGGAGCTAATTAGAAAGGGTATTGCTCTGTTTGTAGCATTGTTTTTAATTTTTCCACCAAGATCCAACAAGCACACATTGTTTTAACCAGCACCTCATGAGCCATTACTTTCAATAAACTGGAAAAATTATATACCTCAAATACTGGAAGTTTACTGTATTATCACAATCTCAGCGATGTGCAAGTAGTCAGTTGAGGGTGTGAGTGAGAAAAGCTGTCTTCTGGTAAATTTTATTTAAGGCAAAGTTGCATTATCACTTCATTGATTTATGCTGTAAATAAAGTATAACAGTGATGTGTAAATCCCCTGCATTACTGAACGTGTATTTTTATATTGCTGATGTGATCTTCTTGATCAACTGGAATATTTGATCAACTGACATATCCCTGGTACAATAGGTGCTGGATAATAATTTTGCCTTCATCATACCTCATTGTCATAACAATTGTTGTGTTAATTTTCAAGGCCTTCATGAGTATCAGCTAGGAACATGTTTACCAGCTAGCAGTCTTAAGTCAGTGCGTAAAGCGTATGCTTCTACATTCTAAATTACTTCAGATGATTTACCTTTCAGTCCATAAACTGAAACCAGACTGCTGTTCAGTATAAAGTTCGGTGTGAAGTGAACGTACCGTCCCTTCTCACCACATCCGCCATACTGTAGGGTGTATGGGTCATCTCCGTATTTACGGTTTGGTTCAGCAATGATCACATCAGCCTAGGAAAAGGCAACGGATGTAAGAATCTGTTGATATCTGATATCTGCTGTCATAACTTTGGCTCGTATTGTGCAAGTCTGAACTGAAATGTAACGTCTAAAAGTATCATTGACAATTCTATCACAGCATTCACCTAATACTAATCTTTTCACTGACATTCAGTTTGGGTTTTGCCAGGTGTACTCAGCCTCTAACTTCATTCCGGCCTTGGTCCAAACATGGACAAAAGAGATGAACTCCGGAGAGGAGGTGAAGGCATCTGCTGTTGACATAGAACTAAGTTCTGACCAATAGTTTCTTTAAAATTCCCTCGTGGAATATGGGTGTTGCTGGCTGGCCAGTATTTATTGCCTGCCCTGAACTGCCCTTGAACTGAGTGACTTGCTGGGCCATTTTAGAAGGAAAGTGAGAATCAACCAGATTGCTGTGGGGGGGATGTCATATATAGGTCAGACCAGGTAAGAATGGCAGGTTTCCTTGCCTGAAGGACATGAGTGAATGAGATGGGGTTTTCCCAAATTGATTTCATGGTCATCAGTAGATTCTCAATTCCAGATTCTTTTTTAATCAAATTCAAATTCCACCATCTGTTAAGGCAGGATTCGAACCCGGTCCCTAGAACATTGGCTGAGTTTCTGGATTAATAGTCTCACGATAATACCACTAGGCTATTCCCTCCCCATCAAATGGCACCAAAGTGCCTTAGGAAAACTGAGGTCAATGGGAATCATGGTCAAAGACTCCACTGTTTGGAGTCATGCTTGGCACAAAGGTAGATGGCTGTGGTTGTTGGTAGTCAATCATCTCAGGTCCAAGACATCACTTCAGGGATTCCTAAGGGCAGTGATCTGAGCCCAACCATCTTCAGGCTTAATAAATGATCTTCTCTCGTCCATCAGGGGGGTTGTTCACCGATGATTGCACAATGTTGAGCACTATTTGCAGCTCCTCAGATACTGATTTGGTCTATGTTCAAATGCCATGAGATCTGGGCAACATTCAGGTTTGGACTAATAAGCAATAAGTAACATTTATGACACATGATTGCCAGTCAATGACCACACCCAACAAGAGAGAATCCAGGCATTGCCCATTGACATTCAATGTCATTATATTGCTGAATCCCCAACATCAACATCCTGGGAAGGGTGAACTGGACTAGCCATAAATAGGAGGTTCAAAAGTAGACTTGAGGCTGGGGATTATGCAAGGAGTAAGTCACCTCCTAACTAGTGATGGAATACTCCCCACTTGCCTGGATGAATGCAGCTCCACCAACACTCAAGTAGCTTGACACCATCCAGGACAAAGTACCCCTTCCACCACCTTCAACATTTACTGTCTTCATCAATGATGCACAACTGCAACAGCATGCACCATCTACAAGAGACCCTGTAGTAACTTACCAAGGCTCCTGCAACAGCAGCATTAACACCTGCAAACTCTACAACTTACAAGGACAGGATTAACACCACCAATGAGTTTCCCCCAAGCCACATACCATCCTGACTTATAGAATATATATATATATAGAATCCCTACAGTGTGGAAACAGACCCTTCAGCCCAACAAGTCCACACCGACCCTCAGAGCATCCCACCCAGACCCCTCCTCCCTATAAACCCCTGTAATCTACACATCCCTGAACACCATGAGCAATTTAGCATGGCCAATCCACCCAGCCTGCACATCTTTGGACTGTAGGAGGAAACCAGAGCACCCGGAGGAAACCCACGCAGACACGGCGAGAACGTGAAAACACCGCACAGACAGTCACCCGAGGGTGGAATCGAGCCCAGGTCCCTGGCTCTGTGAGGCAGCAATGCTAACCCCTGAGCCACCGTGCCACCCCAAGATACTTGAACATGAAGAACAGTGATCAAGGAAATGACAGTAATGAAAGAGCTACTTTAGTTCTGTTTTCACAGAAAAACACACGTAATTTCCCAAAGAGGCTAGACAGGCAGGACTTGGAACCAGATCTCTGTTCCTTCATTGTCACTGTGTCAAAACCCTAGAATTATCTTCTTAACAGCACTGTGAGTGCAACAGTTCAAGAAGACAGCTCACCACTGCCACGTCTGGGGCAATTAGGGGTGGTCGATAAATGCTGGCTTATTTAGCAATGCCCACATCCTGCAAAGGAAATGTCATAAAATCTGAACTATTATGGTTATGTTAGTTATAGAGTTAGTATGTAGTCAGCAGCTCTATCGTGTTATTATAGCTGCTGGGCACGACTCATTGTCTGAGAGATTTTATAAGAGAGCCTGATAACTTGGCACGGCCTAGGAACAGCCTGTCTCTTTTTAAGACCCCACCCTCTGCCCCAATATTCCCATGCAACAGGTATATTCCTGTTTTGGTCCTGTAAATGACTACACCTGTGTTTTCACACCCTAAAAGTTTAGAAAAGATGTGCAGTTAATGCACACTTTGAAAACGAAACAGAATCATAAAAAGATTACAGCACAAAAGAAAGCCATTCAGCCTGTCATATCTCTGCTAGGTCCTTGAGCAGGCAACTCACCTTGTGGGTCTACCATATCAAATAGACTGTAGTGGTTCAAGAAGGCAGAATTAATCCAATTCTCTTCAGAAGTAATTATTGAACTTGCTTATTTCAACCATTCAGGCATCATAACAACCAAAGAAAATTACCCTTTCTCCTCGAGATCACAGTGTGTAAGCTAAACTCCATGACCTCTACCTTTTAGTCATAAAATACCGTACCATAATTAGTAGTTAGACTAAGTTTTTCAGTCAACAATTGCTTGCTTCATTCACTGTGAAATCACCACTTGGCCACGAGGGTTCAAGCAGATAATACGGAGTTTAAGACATTCAAGGGGCAGCACGGTGGCTCAGTGGTTAGCACAGTTGCCTCACAGCGCCAGGGACCTAAGTTTGATTCCACCCTCGGGTGACTGTCTGTCTGGAGTTTACACATTCCCCCCGTGTCTGCGTGGGTTTCCTCCCACAGTCCAAAGAAGTGCAGGCTAGGTGGATTGGCCGTGCTAAGTTGCCCATAGCGTCCAGGGATGTTTAAGTTAGACGGGGAAAATGTAGGGGTGGGGGTGGGGGTAGACGTATGGGTCTGGGTCGGATCCTCTTCAGAGGGGCAGTGTGGACTTGTTGGGCCAAAGGGCCTGTTTCCAAAAAGTTAATACATGTCTGTGCACTACACATAAGGTAACTCACTTTTCAGAGCAACTTACATTATTATATATTTTGTCAGGTTTATTCACACCATGTGGGCATTGCTAGTTGGGCTAGCACTTCCTGCCTGCTTTTGATCTGAGCTGGTAATTGGCGCCTGTTAAGAGGCCAGTTAAGAGTTTACCCATTAAGATGGCAGTTAAGAGTTTCCCACATTACTGAGGGTCTGAAATCACATGTAGACCAGATCAGGTAAGGGTGATATCAGTGAACCAGATGGGTTTTGAACAATATTTGATATTCCAGAATTTTAAAAAAAAACTGAAGTCAAACTTCACCATTTACTACGATGGGATTTGAAACTGTCAAGCCAGGCCATTAGCCTTGGGTTGTGGATTACTAGGTCACTGCCTTCCCATGTACTTTGAAATCACAAGTTTAGTCGAGGGGAATACATCCAGATGCTGCTCAGGAATGTTATTAATTCAAACGTGATATAGAGCCAAATGAGATATTATGTCAGTTCACTAGATAGGGAGGTTTAAGGAAAAAAATTTCAGAGTTTGCGGGTCTTGGCAGCTGAAGACTTAGCTGCAAATGACGGAGCAATTAAAATTGCATGTATTCAAGAAGCCAGACTTAGTCAAACCTTGAAATTCTGACAGGTTATGGGGCTGGAGTTGAGGAGGGCTGGAGGTCATGGAGTGATTTAAAAATAAGGACAAGAACTGGATGTTTGAAATGCATTGCCTGTGGTTTTTCTTATGTACTGGGACAAAAATCCATTTAATAAGTTTCCCATATCATGTATGGCATCTATGAGGAGTGAAGTCGTGATGTGCACTCCCAATTGGCAAGTCCCTGTATTGGTAGTTTAATTTCGTAAACTGATCTCTTTAGTTATTACATTAAATATTTTAGGGGAAAAGGGTTGTGGGATGTTAAGGGCACAAATACTATTTAATAATTGGTGCAGAGATTAAAGACTGTTATAAGTAGAAAAGTTCAGCTAGGAGTGGTGGAATATCATAAAATAATTTGTATTCATATGTTGCAATGTACAGTTCATGACCCCAGAAGTTTAAACGATTCTTACCCTTGACAAAATTAGCTAAATTTCTGAGGAAGGGTCACTGGACCCGAAACGTTAACTCTGTTTTCTCCTTCACAGATGCTGCCAGACCTGCTGAGCTTTTCCAGCAACTTTGTTTTTGCAGCTAAAGATTGGTCTGTCCTCCTTTAACTACTGACGAATTTACGGTTATTTTCTAAAGATAGGTACATAGGCTGTTCATTCTTTATTGGACAGTACATTTTTTTTAAAAATAGGATCATGTTCTTTCTGGTTGTTGACCATCTAATCTGACTCAGTGAAAATAGGAACATAGAATGTAGTTCACAGAAAGAGACAATTTCATTCCATTTGTCTTTTTTTTTTATTCATTCATGCACAGGATGTGGGCATCGCTGGCTAGGACAGCATTTATTGCCAAGAAGTCAGTTAAGATGCAACCACATTGCTGTGGATCTGGACTCATGTATAGTACAGACCAGGTAAGGCCAGGTAAGACCAGGCAAGTGAATGCATTGGGTTTTCTCAATAATCGGGGTCAACATTAGACATCTGATTCCAGGATTTTTAAAAATTGAATTCAAATTCCACCATCAGCTGTATTGGGCTTTGAACAATATAAGTCTCTAGAACATTTCCTGGGTCTCCAGATTAAGAGTCCAGCAATAATATTGTTAAGCCATTAACCACCCCTATACCTGCACTCATGCTCCATGTGAGCCTCCTTCGTCTAACCCTGCCAGCATAACCTTCTCTTCCTTTTTTGCCTATTTGTTTATCTAGCTTCCCCTTAAATGGATGGCAATATTCACCTCATCTAGCCCAGTGATAGTGAGTTTCACATGTAAGGTGCAAGTAACACACTTGAACTGATAGATTTAATTTTAAGATTGATAAACATTGGAAGCTTATTATCATTGGGGTTAAATTTGCTATATGGGACTCTCCATGTGCTTTTGGTTTTTTCCTCAGGTACCGTATAGTATCTACTACTCAAGCTATTACCCTCACAGTTATACATTCTCCCCAATATTTTGGGTAAGATGATTCTCCTGGAATCTTGACTGTGTTTATTACTAACTGTATTTTATTTGTAACACTTGGTTTTGGATTCTGCTCCACAAGTCAAAACAGTTATACAGCCATTGAGTCATAGAGATATACAGCATGGAAACAGACCCTTCAGTCCAACTCATCCATGCAGATCTGATATACTATATAAATCTAGTCCCATTTGCCAGAAGTTGGCCCATGTCCCTCTAAACCCTTTCTATTCATGTACCCACCCAGATGACTTTTAAATGTAATCATAACTGCCTCCACCACTTCCTTTGGCAGCTCATTCCATACACACACTATCATCTGCCTGAAAAGGTTGCACCTTAGGTCCATTTCATATCTTTCGCCTCTCCCCTTAAACCTATGCCCTCTAGATTTGGACTCCCCGACCCTGGGGAAAAGAGCTTGGCTATACACCTTATCCATGCTCCTAATGATTTTATAAACCTCTATAACGTCACCCCTCAGGATGACCTCCATGGAAAATAGCCCTAGCCTATTCACCCTCTCCTTATAGCTCAAACCCTCCAACTCTGGCAACATCTTCGTAAGTCTTTTCTCAACCCTTTCTAGTATCACAACATCCTTCTGTTAGCAGGCAGACCAGAACTGCACACAGTATTCCAAAAATGGCCTAATCAATGTCCTGCACAGCCGCAATAAGACCTCTGAACTCCTCTACTCAATGCACTGACCAATAAAAGCAAGCATACCAAATGCCTTCGTTGCCACCCTGTCTACCAGCAACTCCACTTTCAAGAACTATGAACCTGCACTCCAAGTTCTCTTTGTTCAGCAATACTTCCCAGGACCTTAACGTTAAGTATATAAGTCCTCTCCTGATTTGCCTTTCCATAATGCAGCACTTCACATTTACCTAAATAAGACTCCATCTGCCACTCCTCAGCCCAATGGCCTATCTGATCAAGATCCCATTGTACTCTGAGGTAACCTTCTTTGCTGTCCACTGCACCTCCAATTTTAGTGTCATCTGCAAACTTACTGACCGTACTTTCTATGTTCACATCCAAATCATTTTTTATAAATGACACAAAGCAGTGGATCCAGCACCAATCCTTGTGGCACACTGCTGGCCAGATGCCTCCAGTCTGAAAAGCAACCCTCCACCACCACTCTCTGTCTTCTGCCTTCGAGTCAGTTCTGTATCCAAATGGCTAGTTCTCCCTCTATTCCCTGTGAGCTAACTTTGCTAACTAGTCTACCATGAGGAACCTTGTTGTTTGGTTTAATTGTATGGTGTGCCAGTTGTGAAAGGGGAAGGAAATTTACTCAGTTCCAATGCTACACCATAAACTAATGGTGCTAAAAACAGAAGAATTAGTCATTTGTCCTCGCAGATCCAAAATAGATGATTTCATTTCCCATGTGGCTGAGGAACTAATAATGTGTTACAAAATTGGAAAATGCTGATTTTCCTTATTGACTACAAACAAATGTAACCTTTCTTTTAAAAGTTATTGTCTCATGGGATGTAATTGTCACCATCCTCATAAGAATAAAAGGACATAAGACATAGGAGCAGGATTAGGTCATTCACCCCTACCCCCCAACCCCCAAACGTGCCCCGTTATTCAACAACTGCATGGCTATTCTGACCCAGACCTCAACACATCTTTAATGCCAGCTCCTCATAGCCCGCAACTCCCTATAATACCTCCTCTTTAAACAATTTCAATGATCTAGCCTCCTCAACTCTTTGGGGTTCCAGACATTCACTACCCTCTGAGAGAAGAAATTCTTTCACACTCAGTTTTAAACAAATGTTCATTTAACCTGGAACTAATTTGAGCTTCCCCACTAATGGAAGCAACATCTAAACGTATCAAGGCCCCTCAGAATCTTGCGTGTTTCAATAAGAATACTCCCATCATTCTTCAGAACTCTAACCTGTTTAACCATTCTTGATTCCAGGACCATGCCTAGTGAGTCTGTTTTGAACTGCCTAGAATGCTTGTACATCCATGTCAGGCAATGACCATCTTCAACAAGAGAGAATCTAAACATTGCCCCTTGATATTACTGTCACTGAATTACCCACTATCACCATCCTGAGGTGACCGTTAACTAGAAACTGAACTGGACTAGCTATATAAATACTGTAGCTACAACAGCAAGTCAGTGGCTCAGAATCCTGCAGTGAATCAGTCACCTCCTGGCTCCCCAAAGACTGTCCACCATCTGTGCACCCATTTGCCTGGATGGGTGCAGCTCCAACAATACTCAAAACACCATCCAGGACAAAGCAGCCTGCTTGATTGGCACCACGTCCACAAGCATCCACTCCCTTCACCATCGACACTCAAGTCACAGCGGTGCGTGCCATCTAAAAGATGCATTACAAAAATTCACCAAAGATCCTTAGACAGCTCCTCCAACCCTCAACCACTACTATCCTGAAGGACAAGGACTGCAGATACATGGGAGCAACAACACCTAGAAATTCCCCTCCAAGTCACTCACCATCCTAACATGGAAATATATTGCCATTACTTCACTTTCACTGCACCAAATCTCAAAATTCCCTCACTGATGGCATTGTGGTTCTACCCACATGGACTACAGCAGTTCAAGGAGGCAACTCACCACTAACTTCTCATGAGCAACTAGGGAAGGGCAGTTAAGAGACAATCACATTGCTGTGGGTCTGGATTCACTTGTTGGCCAGGCAAGGTAAGGATGACAGCTTCCATCCCAGGAGAATGGGGTTGAGCCATGATTGAATTATAAAGTGACTCGATGGGCTGAGTGGCCAAATTATGCTCCAATGTCTTAAGGTCTAAAGGGCATGGGTGAACCAGATGTGTCAAGCCCACAGCAATCAGCAACAGTTTCATAGTCATCATCAAATCCTTAATTCTTCACTTTTTAATCGAATTCAAACTCCATCATCTGTCCTGGTGGGATTGGAACCCATGTTCCAGACCATTACTGCATCTCTGGATTAATACTATATCAGTAAAACCACTAGGCTACCACCTACACGTTACTAATGCTGTATGCTGTATGCTGTAAGATTAAAAATCCATAAACTTTTCATCATTATTAATTATTCTGCTTCCATTTCGTGATGTATTCTTCTGCATATATTTTCTATCCTTTCCTGTCACCCTTTGATTATCATTCGCCTCTTCACAACCCTTAATCTTTGCCTAGTTTTGATTTTAAAACTTCCCTTCAAATGTATATTCCCTGCAATAATTAGTTCAAAGCTCTGTCTTCCCCCTCATTGTACTAATCATCCATTTGAGGTGCTGAGATACTAATCTCAGCATTGTTACTAATCCCAAGTGGGCAGCAGTGGTTCAAGAAGGCAGCTCACCATCACCTTCTCAAGGACAGTTAAGGACTGCCACTAAATGCTGGACCAGCCAGCAACACCCACATCCCACGAGTGAATGAAAAATACAATAATTGCTTGACAATTTCTTTGTCCGTCTTTATTTTGGAATAGGCTAGATATTCTTAATGGCTTTGCATACGGAGTTTATGGAGTTGATTTCGACATGTATCTAAGAGGGGAAAGATTGAAAAGGGACCTAAGGGGCAACATTTTCATGCACAGGATGGTGCATGTATGGAATGAGTTGCCAGAGAAAGTGGTGGATGCTGGTACAATTACAACATTTAAAAGGCATCAGATGGGTATATGAACTGGAAGGGTTTAGAGGGATATGGGCCAAATGCTGGCAAATGGGACTAGATTAATTTAGGATATCTGGTCAGCATGGACGAGTTAGACCGAAGGGTCTGTTTCCGTGCTGTACACCTCTATGACTCTATCTGAACATGGAACTTGAGCTGATAATTAAATGACTGCATTGAGGGAACAGTATGGTGTTAGATGTGGTAATATATAAACATTGCACGTTCTAAACCATCTACATTATGCCAATATATCCACCATAGCTGCGAACAGTGCACTCAGACTGTATCACCTCTTGCTCTCGCCATCCATGTGGCCCTCCAATAACACCATCTCCACACCAGCCTCCTGCCGTTATTCCTAGACACTAAAACTACTTTGCAGGCTTCCTAAATCTCAAAAGGCTCATCTGTTCTCCAGAATCACACAACCCTCTCACTTGCACTAGTTAATCACTCTGGTTTAGGACTTCAAATTGGCTCAAGAGAATCCCAGAGGGAGGAAAGAGAAAAAACAGTAATACATATAAATAATCATCCATTTTGAGGTGTACAAGACGAGTCTGACCACTACGTTAAATCTAACACTCTGGTAAAGTTATCATATTCTGAACAGCAAATGTATTCTTTTCAGACTAGAACAGACAGGATTGTGAAACTCAATCCCCAACATACCAGTGTAAATTCTCGAATGCTGCGTAATAGAAAGGAAAATTATTCTGTTCAGTTACTGAATCCTGCTTATTGCAAAGCACAAGCCTGCTTTAGTTCACATAGAAGGTATTCCCTGTGAGCTGTTAAGTCACAGATAACCTCCAGGGTTTAGCAAACACACTCAAGGAAATCTTTCTTGAGCCTCAGATTGTCTGAAAATTGCCTTGGAGTTGCTGCTGCTACACCAGTGGTGCAAAATAAAACCCACTCAGTTGTGGATGGGTTTTGTGAAGCCCCAGCAGCTGAGCAGGAGAAGATTCCAGGTAATTGTTACTCTTCACAACTGGGTCCTTACCTTCTCGTAGGATTGAGTCGTCGGTCTCTGAACCGGGTGGGAACCAACTGGCCACGTTAGAGGCAGCAGGATTTTCACATCTGCGAAATAAACTTGCTGTTTGGTAGCTCGGTGAAGGTAGGAGGAGGCTGCAGTCACTATTTCCTGTAAAGCAAAAACCCAGGTTTAAAATCAAAACAGCTTGCTTCATTCATCAAATGGTGAGAGAGAAAAGAATATCATTTTATAAACCCAAAGAACAGTGGATGGTAGAAATCAGAAACAAAATCAGAAATTGCTAGAAAAACTCAGCCAGTCTAGCAGCATCTGTAGAGTGAAAGTAGAGTTAATGTTTGTGTCCAGTGACCCTTCTTCAGAACAGAGAAGCAGAACTTCTTCAATGTAGGTATACCTGGAAGAGATGTGGAAATACGTTAAGCACTAAACAAAAAAGATATATTTCTTTAGTCCCTCTCCTATCAGCAAATTCTGAATTCTAAATATTAAATTTAACATAAAAGGACATAAAACAAAACAAAATAATTAATTCACTACAGACAGCACCTCAATAACTCACCCGAATATTTTCAATTAGCTGTTCATTATGTTGGGTTTGAGGGTTAATGGCAATAACTATGTCTCTATATCCATTATTCTCCAGCTTTATCCCAGAACACTTTAGAACAGAACCACACAGAAGATAGCTAAGCACCAAGATGAAGGTTTTTTGGAACCTCATCACTGCTGTGCTCAGATTATATCCAGACTGTAGCTTGTCAAATTCATATAATTGTCTCTGCTGCCCTAACATGTAACTTAAGGCTTTTCTGCAGTAACACATGGAATGTGGTGTCCACTGGCATCCAATAGATTTTGATTGCTGCAAGAATGCCAGCAACTATTTAAAAAAGAAACAGAGCAAATAGTTTGAACAGGACAGCTATAGCTGGGTGAATCACATCATACTTGTGAATTTTTCACTGCCTGTTGTCATTAGCATCAAAACAGATTTAAGAAGGAATTGGCAGCTTTTCCAGTGCTGAAGGCAAAATAACAAGTTTTGCACAGAGTTCAGCAAAAATTGTGAATAAAACAAGTGAAACAACTCTGTGATGAGTGATTGGGAAGTTCTGCTTCAAGCTGTTTCTCACCTGAGATTGTGAACACCCATTTGGAACCCTCTACTAATGTCATTTTGAAACACTATGAGCTGAAACTTGCAATATTTTGACTGTGCCAATTTTGTCAAGTTCCAGAGAGGGTTTCTCTCTACCAGAACTAGTGTTCTTCCTTCACTATTATCCCAAAATCACCTCATTAGCTACCTACCCTGTCCTTGTGATGCCACTCTTTACTTTCCTAATTTCCTTTTTAATCCTCACCTCTCTGCACTTTTTAATCCTCACCTCTCTGCACTTTTTATACTCCTCTAGGGACTCTGCCGTATTGACACATTAGAATCTGCTCAAAACCTCTATTTTTTCCTTAATCTAAATATTTTGTCCCTTGACAATCAGGGTTCTCCAGCCTGGATCCCACCTTTAGCTTTTATGGGAGCCTATCCGCCCTTGACTCTTGCTATTTCCTCTTGAATTCCTCCTACTACCCTGACACTGTTTTACCTGCAAGTCACTGTTTCCAGTCAATATGAACCAAATCACATAGATTCATAGAGTCAAAACATGGAAAAAGACCCTTCAGTCCAACCAGTCCATGCCGAACACAATCCCAAACTAAACCAGTCCCACCTGCCTGCTCCTGGCTCATATCCCTCCAAATCTTTCCTATTCATATATACATCCAAATGTTTTTTAAAGGTTATAACTGTACCCGCATCCACCACCTCCTCAGGAAGTTCATACCACACACAAACCACCCTCTGTGTCAAAAATAGTTGCCTGATATGTCTTTTGTAAATCTCTCTCCCAGCACCTTAAAAATGTGCCCCCTAGTCTTGAAATTCCCCAACTTAGGGAAAAGACAACTGCCATCAACTCTGTCTATACCCCTTATTATTTTATAATGTTCTATCAGATCGCCTTTCAGCTTCCTATGATCCACTGAAAAGAGTCCCAGCCTACCCAGCCTTTTTTTACAACTGAAACCTTCCATACCCAGCAACATCTTCTGAACCCGCTCCAGCTTGATAATATCCTTCCTATAACTGGGTGACCAGACTGGACACAGTATTCCAGAAGAGGCTTCACCAATGTCCTCTACAACATCTACATAACATCCCAACTCCGATACTCAAAGGACTGAGCAATGAAGTCAAGCATGCCATTTAACCATCTATTCGTGATGCAAACTTCAAAGAATTATGTACCTGCATCCCTAGGCCCTTCTGCTCTACAACACTACCCAAGGCCCTTCCATTAATTGTATAAGCCCTACCCTTGTTTGTTGTACCAAAATGCAATACCTCGCATTTATCCAGATTGAAATCTATCCACCATTTTTCAGCTCATTGACCCATTTGCCTTACCCTTCACTCTAACAGGGACAACATACCTCTGAACTCTCGTCATCACACACTTGAATGCCTCCCACTTGTCAGACATCCTTTTACCTGTGAACAGTCTACTCCAATCAACTTTTGAAAGTTCTTGCCTCATTCCATTAAAATTTGCCTTACTCCAATTAAAAGCTTTAACTTTTATGGAAGGTTTATCCTTTTCCATAACCATTTTGAAGCTAATAGAATTATGACCACCGGACCCAAAGTGTTCCCCCACTTTTACTTCTGTCACCTGCCCTGCCTTATTGCCCCAAAGAAGTTATACTTTTTTGCTCCTTCTCTAGTAGGAGCATCCACTTTTTTAAAAAATTCATTAATGGGATGAGGGCTAGGCAGCATTTATTGCCCATCTCTAATTGTCCAGAGTCAACCACATTGCTGTAGCTGTGGAGTCACATGCAGGATAGAAGTTTCCCTCCCTAAAGGGCATTAGTGAACCAGATGGGTTTTTCCCCTGACAATCGGCAATGTGTCATCATTAGACACTTAATTGCAAATATTTATTGAATTGAAATTCCACCATCTGCTGTGGCAAGATTTGAACCTGGGTCCCCGGTCCATTGTTTGAGTCTCTGGATTACTAGTTCTGCGATAATATCATTAGGCCATTGCCTCCCCTTGTGATAAAGAAAATTTCTTGAACACATTTGACAAGTTTTTCATCATCCAAACCTCCAACATGATGGTAGCCCCAGTTAATGTTTGGAAAATTAAAACCTCCCATTATTACAGCCTTATTATGCTCACATATATCTGAGATTTCCCTACATATTTGTTTCTCAATTTCCCTCTTAATACTGGGGGGCCTGTAGTACATTCCCTTCAAAGTGATCTTTCCTTTCTTATTTGTAATTTGTGTCTATATATTTTCACTGGACGATTTTTCAGAAACATCTTCCTAGTTAGAGCTGTAATGTATTCCTTAATCAAAAACTCCACTCCCATTCCTTTCTTGCCTCTCTTTCTATCCCTTCCATAGCATCTAAAAACAGGAATATTGAGCTGCCAGATTTGTCCATCTTTCAGCCAAGTTTCTGTAATAGCTATGATGTCCCAATCCCATGTTCTTAAACATGCTCTGAGTTGATCAGCTTTACCTGTAAGATCCCTTGCATTGCAATAAGTGCAATTTAGTTTTTCAGAGTTACTACATACTCTGACTCTGTCTAGTCTTTCTTTTCTAATTCACGTGCTGTCCTCACATTCAAAACTTTCCCCAGCGATCCTTCTGTTCACACTGCTATTTAGAGTTCCTCCACTCCCCCTCTCTATCAGTATAAAGTCTCCCTTTACGGAATGAGCAAATCTTTCTTCTATGATATTGGTCCCTTTCCAATTCACATTAGATCCATCCTTTTTGAACAGGTCTTTTTTATCCCAAAAGACATTCCAATTGTTCAAAAACCTGAATCCCTGAACAATGCACCAGCTCTTCAACCATTGATTTATCTCCTTTAACCTTTTGTTCCTTCTCTCATTTGAGTAAGGCATTGGGAGTAAACCAGAAATGACTACTTCCAAGATTCTATTTTTTAATCTTCTACCTAACTTCTTAAATTCACTCTGTACTGTTGTAATCTTTTCCCTAAAAATGTTATTCCTGCCAAGTTGTACAATAATTTCTGGCTTCTCAATCTCACCTTTTAACAATATGCTTCAGACTTCCTTAATCCTAGCACCAGGAAAGCAACAAATTATCCTAAATTTATGCTCACTGCCACAGAATCTTCTGTCTATGCCCCTGACAGGACAGTCCCCTATAACAATAATTCTACTAAAGCTTGTCAAATACTGTCTTCCATAAGAATCGTTCAAAGTGTTCAATAACTGACTGGCCCTTCCATTTTCCTCGGAGAGACTATCCCTTTCTACAGTTCCAAAAACTGAATACCCATTTGAAAGAGGAAAAGCTACCTGAGCCTTTTGATCTTACCTTTCCCAAAAGTCACCCATCTATCCAGCTGATCGTTTTTTATACCCCTCTTTATTCATTCACAGGATGAATGAGTTGTTGGTTGGGCCAGCATTTATTGTGGGTCTGGAGTCACATGTAAGAGTGGCAGTTTCCTTTCTTGAAGGACATTAGTGATGGGTTTTTCCCCCTGGATTCATGGTCATCATTAGGCTCTTAATTCCAGATTTTTATTGAATTCAAATTCCGCCATCTGCTGTGGTGGGATTTGAACCCGTGTCCCCAGAATGTTATATGGGTCTCTGGGTTAACAATAATAATAATAATTAACAACAATAATCCCACTAGGCCATTTCCTCCCCTCCTTCTGTGTGATAACTTTTCTAAATCTATTAGCCATCTCACTCTGTACCTTGTACGTGCCCTTAATAACATTAAGCCTAAAAAAAATCTTTAATAACATCTTCTATATAAAATAAACTACCTTTTGTTACCAACAGAAAATAATGTTAAAATGGGAAAAATTATAAAACTTAAATAAAATCAATCACTTGGCTGATTAACTGAATAAAAAATGACTCCTCTTCAATAAATTCCTGAAGAAACAAATATCTTCTCCAGAGCCAACCACATGTAGGACTCACTGAAACAAAAACACAACTCCTTATTTTAAAAAATTGTTCAGTTTTTCAAAATAAAACCTTGGCATTGTAAAAAAAATCCTCTAATAATATTTGTAATGTGTAAAAAATCCTCTAAAACACATATAGACTTTATAAACTTCTGAATTGAGAATAAAAAATACTCAGCTGTTCACTGTAAACCCTTAAAAGCTCATTTAAAAAATTATCCTACCCCAAGTTATGAACTTATATTAATGGCCCATCCTCACTCTTTCCCATACTTATCCTAAATCTACTGACTTAGTCACCTCTTTCTTATTAAACCTATATTTCTTTGCTTTTGCACAATTACATGCTTTTACCTTAAATTTGTTGCTTTCTTTTAGCTATTTAGTTAGGCACAGATTGTAGAGCCTTCCCTTGGAAATTTTTCTTTATAGTAGATGTACACTTGTTCTGGGTATTCTGGACTGACCCTTTAAATGGGGAGGTGATGTCCTAGCAGTATTATCACTAGGCTGTTAATCCTGAGACTCAGGTAATGTTCTGGGGACTTGGATTCGCATCCCACCTTGCCAGATGGTGGAATTTGAATCCAACACAAATCTAGAATTAAGAGTCTAATGATGACTATGCATCCATTGCTGATTGTTGGGGGAAAACCCATCTGGTTCACTAATGTTGTTTAGGGAAAGAATCTGCCATCCTTACCTGACCTGGCCTACATGTGACTCCAGACTCACAGCAATGTGGTTGAT